CCCACCAACTGGTAAGTGCAGCTTGCTAGTCACCCATATGTGTGCATTCACAGAGGCCACGAAAAAGAAAAAGAGGTTACTTACCTGTAACCATAGTTCTTTGAGTGGTCCTCTGTGAATTCACACAACCCGCCCATCCTTCCCCTCTATCCGTCACAGGTTAATTATATAATTAATTAATTCTTTCCTTCATACCCGGCGGATAAAATTCAGAAACTGGGGAAGATGGTGGGTGGGAGGACCATATACCTTGTGGAGGATCACACCATAAAATTGTTACTTTTAGTTCTAGTATCTTCCGAGAGAGTCAGCGCAGGCACAGACAATACCCATATGTGTGAATTCACAGAGGACCACTCAAAGAACTATGGTTACAGGTAAGTAACCTCTTTATTTGATTTATTCCCCGCCCATCTGTTCTATATGACCACTCTAGATTTTAGAGCAGGAAATACCTCCTTTAGTCTCCATGGACAAGGCAGTTATTTTTGTCTTACTTTCCCCTTACGCATAATACATCACGTATTAAAAAATAGTAATTAGGAACCTGCATTTTCAAAAGTGTAATATTATCAGCTAGTGTATCTATTAAAATATCTGTTTTGGCTTCTCCCCCACTCAGAAATTGGCGACATTGCTGGTGTAGCTGACGTTACCATTAGGCAATCGTATAGGCTGATTTATCCACGTGCTCCAGATCTTTTCCCACCAGATTTCAAATTTGACACCCCAGTGGACAAACTACCACAGCTCTGAAACGTCGAAGGCTGCTTCTAAATATTACCAAAAAAGAGAGATTTTTTTTACTTACAAAAGAGGTGTATAGAAGCTGTACTGCTGAGCCCACATGTTGTAGAACTGGTTAAAGGATATGAAAACGCCTCTCCAAGGAAGTGGAGCACACATTCCAAGTGTAAGAGATAATTTTGTGGCATTTTTATGTATATATTAGTGAAAGTAACTATTTAACAACCATTGCAACAAACTTAATTTCCCGATTGTTATGTACTTAAGATTTCTTTTGTAGAGACCTAGTAAAATGTATTTTGGAAAATGTGTCAAATACTGCATCCTGAATAAACTGTTTTCCAAAATATTTACTCTCTTAAACGTTTCACTATATATGTGACCTTGTTTTGAATAAATAAAATCTTTAAGAACACAAAAAATTTTCTTCAGTTTTCTGTTTTACTGTCCATTGTGTGTTTTATATTGTTCATTGGCAACTGTTTTGGTTAAATACAATAGACATTATTAGTCTGTATTATTTACCACACCTCTAAGGACAATAAAGTGCCTGCAGTAAAATAAGATGGGTCTGCTCGAATGACTAAGACCGACTCTTTCTTCTTCATGGCAGCTGCTTCCAGAATTGCCTTTATTGTGCACATGGTAACTTGAACAGGATGCTGTGAAAAGTTGTAATCCACAGAAAGCATAATCCATACGTAATTTAACATTTTCTGGGTAAATTAGCTGTGTCAAGGAATGTTTCTGTTCTGTTTCCTTTTCAGACCTTTCTTCTCACAAATTCATCATTAGAAAATATCTCTCACTTGATTTTTCCTTTCTATTACAAGCCCCTGTTTCTACATGAGTGAGAATCTAGAAAACTGTTTAGTCAACTGTTTTGAACATCTTAGGTGGAATGGGCTATGGGGAACTCAAGAAATGGACATTTGAGGCATCCTTGCATATATGTATGGATGTTGTGTCCGCCCAGGTTATGAATATTAATGTATTATCTGCATGGACCAATGGAAGTGCTGGAGAGGCAGAGTCATGAGATAGAAGAATATCTGCATGGGGAGGAGAGATTAGATTGGAGATAGAGACAAGATTGGAGATTAGAGAGTTGGAGTTTGGGAGTTGACAGAGTTTGGGAAGGCGGTAGAGAATAGAAAGGAAGGTTGTTTTAGTTGAGAGTTAACACTGACTGAACTTTCCTTTCTTGTAACAATAAACATCTTCTACTTGGTTTTTAAAGGACACGTTGACTGGACCTCAGTCTTTAATATTGAATAACCTTGATATAATCAACTGGTGGCAGCTGAACGACCCGTAGCTTGTGCCTTTGTTTGGTAAAATAACCAAAGGGCAGGTGGGAAAATGACAGTGGATGAATGCCAAAGGAAATGTTTGATTCTGGGACACGCATGCTTCTTCTTTCTCACTTGCCTATTCTTTGAAAGGGCAAAAAGTTGAGGCCCAGAGGCAATTTTGCCAACATCTGGCCATGACTCATGGGAATCTTTTGCTAACTGCAAAAGGTGGTTTTCATCCTAACATGCTTCCTCCAAGTGACAAGTCTTCCAACTACATAGCACCATTTTAAAGAGTATTTCATGTTCACATTAAAAAGTCTCAGATAAATCCTTTGTACAACTGACTTGTTAAAAAATTGAGTTCTAAAAATTTGTCACTTTTTTCCAGATATATTTCCTTAAAATAGCCTCCAAGTAAGTCTCGAGTTATAATAAAGACTAAATCAAATTGCTTTTAAGCAGTTTAGAGGATGACAGGGAAGGCCAATATATATAAGTAGCATGAATTGGGAAATAACTTTTATGATCACTGCTAGTACTAAACAATTTCTTACCATACTTATTCCAGTTGAAGGTCTAACAATTGCCTCTTACTACAGTGGCCTCAGTCCATCTGTGTTGGAAGTCCTGAACCCTACTCAGTTCTGTGGGCTGATAAGCAATGAAGCTGAGACAAAAGGGTTGGCATTAGCTTGGCTCTTACTAAGACTGTCAGCAAAGCAGTTAAGTACTATAAACAACAGTGGTGCCCCACTTAATGATTACCCCGCTTGATGATGAATCCGCTTCACGACTGTGTTTGCGATCGCAAAATGTTTTAATGGGCAAAATCCGCTTTACGATGATCAGTTCCCTGCTTCGGGAACTGATTCTTCGCATTACGACGATCAAAACAGCTGATTGTCGGGTTTTCAAAATGGCCACCGGCTGTTCAAAATGGCTCCCTGCTGTGTTCAGGATGGATTTTACGCTGCACAGGCTTAGGAAAAAGGCCGCCCTATGGAGGATCTTTGCTGGATGCTGAGGTATTTCGCCCATTGGAACACATTGAACCGGTTTTCAGTGCATTTCAATGGGCTTTTTTATTTCGCTTGATGAGGTTTTCGCTCTACAGTGATTTTGCTGGAACGGATTATCCTCGTCAAGCGAGGCACCACTGTATACACTACAGTGTATATAGAATACACTGTAGGGCAGTGGTTCTTAACCTTTGTTACTCGGATGTTTTTGAACTGCAACTCCCAGAAACCCATCAGCACAGCTGGTGGTGAAGGCTTCTGGGAGTTGAAGTCCAAAACTCCTGAGTAACCCAAGGTTAAGAACCAGTGCTGTAGGGAATAAAGTATCAGATGAAGTGTTGTACAAGATCTTGATATAAATAAATTAGACAGAACTGTTCCTACAAGCCATTAGCCTAATTCTTTTTTAGACGTTCTAACTTAGACCGGTGCTATTTTTGTTCTCTCTTAGCTCCAGCAGCATTCTTGAGTCATAATACGAGGAACAGCAGCTTGTATAAAAAAAGTACAAGTTTATTTAGATCTTGGATCTGTTCAGCATGAAGCTTGACATTGTGCCTTAAAAACAAAACCCCAGTAATCATCTGTACCATTCTGGAAAGTTTCATTTCCATGGAAAATTGGTTTAGCCTTATCCAGAATGTTAAGAGTCAGATTTTGTAAAAACCTTTTGCTTAAAAAGGTGCTACTAAAAATGTCATCTCTCTGGTAAGCTTTCTTCAGTAGCACTGCATTTCTTGAATCACTACTTGTTTACAAATCATCACATTGCTTTCTTCTAGAAATAATCTGTATGGCTCTAGCTACAATAGCCAGTGTTTCTCAGTGTTGTGACTTATGACAATCATGATTTTGCACACTGGTATCACAGGTATTGTTAGAGGTTTTTAAAATGTCAAAACCCACTTCTGCAATGTTTCTGTGTTGCCATAGTTTATATGTCTAGCACAGGGCTTGGATGCTGAGCTCCTGGACTGGAATTTGGTTTACCAGCTTTTGTTTCCTTTCTATTCTAAAACAAGGGTGGCCAAGCCATGACCCTCCATATTAGACTGAAGGGCCTATTAATCATAATTAGCTAGCCAGTTGCACAGCATCTGGAGGGCTGCAAGTTGTCTTTGCTCTGAAATGGTTGAAATATTTCTTTCAGTAGTGATACCTACCTTCTTGAACTCTGTACAGTTGAGTTTGCTTATGTATTGTTTGTAACTAAGAAACTACAGGACATGAGTTTCTTAGATGAAAAAAAAAACTGCCAGGAGAAAAACATCTGACATTTAAACAGGGAAAGAAACAAATTTCCTTTGGTGTCATATGGTATATTGGGCTGGTTCCTATTCCAAGGCACTGATGTGCAGACAGAGGCTTCAGTTGACATTCTCTGCTGGTTCAAAAGCATGGAGGCAAATGGATTATTTCTTTCTTGCATACCCATCTCCTAGCTTGGCTGCATTATCAGTTTACTGTCTCAACTTAGTTCACCTTAGCTTCCATTTTAATATCTGCATAGTGCTCAGATTTTCAAGCAGAATTTAACCTTCACCGCTTTCCTCCATATTTAATAATTAAAACAGACAGGCAAGGTCTATTGACCAGATCTCCTCCCCACCTCCCAAATATAACAAGTGGGTGGACTTCTGATTTCAGCATGTATGTACTGGGCTCTGGAAAGCTCATGTGCAGTACTTTACCCACCCCTGCTTTAGGTTCTCTTTCTAGTCATGTGCACTGTGTATGTCAACAGAATGGAACCTAAGTTATTTGAACAAAGAATTAGTGACGGGCTATACTTATTCCTGCAAAAGGGTAATTCAGAGTTCTATGTTCATCTTTTGTGTCAACAGAGAAATCACACAACAGTAGCAGATTCAAATCAGTAAATCATATTTTCATATACAAATTTCACTATTTAAACTTTAATTTGATAGTTAACTGCAAGACAGTTTGTAGCATTACATTGTTAAAGGCACATTTCATTTTAATGCATAGTGTACCATTCTAAAATATCCTAATTTCTTTACAAAGTGCTTCAGCAGCCACATACAAGTATAGCAAAATATATTTACAATCTAGAGTTTAAAATCTGGATTTGCCTAAATATTTTAAAACTAGATAAAATTAGTGCTTTCTTTCAGCTTAAGTGTGTGAACATACCCTGCCTCTAATTTACTTGATTACAAACATTTCTGTACAAGATGTACTTACAAAAGTTATTTCTGTAGGACTTTAAATGTGAAGCACCTATTTGGGACCCAGCTGTCTGTAGTTCTAATTTGGGAGCAAAGGGGGCAAGCAGACTGTACCCCAGGTGTATAGTGTTTAATTAGGATATAGCTATGTGAAGTGGAAAATACCAGAATACTATAATCTACTGTATTTGGAGGATGCTGTTTTAAAAGGACCACCAATTAGGTGTACTCATGATTTTTAAAGGATCACCTATTTTACTCATTGTCTCATGTGGACAAATTTACAGCATATTATTACAATTTGTATTCTTATATGCCTCTAAAAATATTGAAAACCCAGCAAAACATGTTCAAGCCGAATGACAGTTTACTGGTTGGAAAAATATCTTGGGCTATGAAAGGTTAAGTGACTGCTATTTGTCCTTCATGGAACAAAGTTCCCAAAAGAGCAGTTAGCCTCAATGATTTCATACCCCACACAGATACTTGATTTTTGGCTAAGTGTGAGGCTGAATGCAGAAACCAATTTTAATATACTAAAGTAAGTGGAGTACTGTGTTTTACAAACAGACATAAAATGGGATTGCAGAATATTTCAAAATAGCTACATAAATCTGTAAGGAGCATACACAGTATCTGGTCAAATACATTTTAACTTCTGAGGTACAGCACAGTATTAAAGATACTTAAAATATACATGTTTTATAAAAAAAATTATACATTCTCTTGAATATATTGCTTTCACCCTTCTCAGTAACTGCCAATGAAAATTCTGGAGTACAGTGGCCCAAAAGATGTATACATTTTCCCCTATTAAATCTGGATTTAACAATACATTCATATAGCCACTAGATGAAAATTTTAAAGGAAGTGGTACTGCTTGAAACAAAAATATACTAGAAATTCCAAATACTCATGTACACTACATGTATCCAATGAAAATCCTCATCTTTAAAGATGATATGATAATACAAAATCAACAAATACAAGATGAATGAGATAAGTAGACTGTTTTTGTAAGTCAGTGTATCTATGGAGTTAAATGTTGAAATTCCATGACTTCCAAGAGTTTGAAGCTAAAATTACGTTTGGGGGCAAATGCATACATTTGAAGTATTCCTGGTTAAGACTGAAGAGACATTCATACTCATTTACATTCTTCATATTTGCTGGCTATTTCTGAATAGTGTTTAAAGAAGTTAAAAGGCAAAAATTGTTTGGCAAGTGACTTTGGTAAACTTTTCATGACCGGTCCTCTTTTTTTTTTCTTTTTCTTTAATGGAAGCACTTATACTGTTTTTACATAGGTAAGGCTTTTAAACACCCCCCCACCCCAATAAATACCATAGAAAGTTTACAAAACAAGGCATCAGTTCTTAATCCTCATTATTTTAAAAACTCAAGTCAACAGTGTGCTTAACAGTCTCTATGTCTATATATTTTTAGAGATTACAATAATTTTCATTTTTAAAGACCAACAAACAGCTTTTGCCTTTCATTAACACCTTAGTATATGGTTATCTGTCTAGCTTAGCTTCTGGTTGTCATCCCTCTTAAGGCAGGTGATTTTTGTGATGTTTTCTGCTGTAGAAGATACAGTGCAAGTGTGCTCATATAAGAATGCAACACAGCTTGTACCCACCAGACTGCACACAATTTCTTTCCAGTGCTCAAGATTTTTTTTTAAAAAAGATACAGCCAAAAAAAAATAAGAGGCCACACCTTGTGTGTATTAAAAACAGTACTTTAAAAGTATCTTCATGTGATTCAAAAATGAGAAGCTACAGGCAGCACAGAGACCAATCCAAAGGCTGGTGATATTCTCAGGAAGGGAGGTGGGAGAATAGTGTTCTGATGAACAAGTCTGCTAGAACTTCACAGTGCCTAAAAATTAACACCAATCTGCAATGTAGTCAAAGTCTCTGAACATTTCCTGCTGATCTTCCGAGAGTATCCTGGGCTCTCGGGGTGGAGTGAGAATAGGTGCTTCTGAGGTAAATTCATCATCGAAATTGCTAACATCTTCTCTTCCTCTTATGGTGGGTACAAATGGGGGTTTCACCTTTTTGGCAAGCAATGCATTCCAATCAATCAGCTGTGGAAGAGAACACAGGTTAGGTTTTCTGCTGCTCACAGTCATCAGAATGCGCCCCACACTCTGCTCTGCCTGTCACTCACCCGGAAAAAGTGATGCTTTTTGACCTCCTCAGCATCTTTCTCTCCAGCACCAAGCCGTCGTTCTGGGTTTCTCCTCAGAAGCTGAAAAGAGGATCAACAAATGAGGCTGAGTAGAATGAAGACTGAAGCTAACACTTTAATACTAATCAATGCTGACAACTGAAAGTAGTAATTTAGGGAAACTGCTATACAAATCTAATAATGATTATTAAATGTGATATTCCTAGTTAGATGTACAGGAGGTAAACAGTACATGGGACATCAGTGATGTATCTTCAACGTGCTGAACAGGATTTGTAAATTAAAAGAGGGCTTTAAGAGTAACGTATTATTAGGGATGGGATTTTCGTAATGTTAGGACTTCCAGTCCAGAAATTCTTTCCCATATCTGGGATATGGGAGAGGAGAAAGCAGAAGGCAAAAGGAGATGGGTTCCTACTACCATTGTCTTGCTTCACAACACATGATTTGACTGGGAAGCAGAAGGGAAGTCTCTTCCCCCCCTTCAGTCACATGGCTTGCTAGGAGTTGCTTTGCTGCTCCATGAGAGGTCTCACTACCCATTAGATTCTACAGAGAGAGCCTTTCAATGAACTACCCTAAATAAAGAAATGTATTAATCATTAATGGATTAAGCTAATTAAGTACTACTGTGTTTCCCTGAAAATAAGACAGGGTCTTATATTAATTTTTGCTGCAACAAACACATTAGGGCTTATTTTCAGGGGATGTTTTATTCTACAGTCATATCTTATGGTTGCTGCACAATGGTGGAGGGCGGGGGATTTTTGGGGTAGGACTTGTATTACGAGCATCCTGAAAAATCATACTAGGGCTTATTTTCAGGCTAGGTCTTATTTTTGGGGAAACGGGGTAGTAATAACCACACTGAAGGCCTCATCTTACCCTTCTCATTATCGAGATGGCTTCCGTAGAAAGAAATCGAGGATATCTTACTTCATCATTTACAATACTGTCAAAAACCTCTTCTTCATCATCTCCTGGGAAGGGAGACTGAGGACGGGAGAAGGATACAAAGCGTGTATAAGTTAGACTAAAAGATGGTCCTGCATGTGTCCTCCAAATGTAAATTATTTATTTCCCCTTTAAAAAAATTTTATTTTGCAAAGCGTACCTCACCAACAAGCATTTCATAGATGAGCACACCAAGGCCCCACCAGTCTACAGCTCTTGTGTAAGATGTTTCTGTCAATACTTCTGGAGCAAGAAATTCTGGAGTGCCACAGAATGTACTTGTTCGGTCACCAAATCCCATTCCTGCAACAATTACACAAATTCTGAAAATTGAACATCTTCTAAAAACTAAATACTTTCACCTTCTGTTCTCATGAACGGCTGCTTATTATTACTGATTTTTTAAACACCTCAACCCCACTATAAAAACAATGTAGTTAAAGGTTCAAATACCATATGACTCCGATATCCATGATTTTCCTAATTTGTCAATCCTATCTACATACCAATAGACACAAAAGATGGTGAGCTTTTTAAAGAACAATGTAAGCCTATTTTTCAAATACCAAATGCATTATTATTCATTGAATTATAATCAATGTTTTACAATCACAGACTCAAGAACAATTACAGATCATCATAAAAAAGCAAAACAAAAAATGAGTAGACTGACATACATGATACAAGAATTTACTGCCATGTAAAAATGTATAGGTAACTGTAATCTCTGTAGAGCTCCCTGAAATTAGGAATATAGAAGATATTGTCAATGTTAATTTCAACATCAAAAAGTTACATCCTTTAAGATGTCACAAGATTCCAGCTTCTTGAAAGAATTGTTATTCTTTGCTCCAAAAATTAATAATAACCTTTGAATTGCAGAGTGGGAGGGGCCCTATGAATCATCGAGTCCAGCCCTCTCAAGGAGGCACAATGGGGAATTGAACTCTCAACCTCTCGCTCCATAGCCTAAGATGTAAGCCACTGAGCTATCCAGCAGTCAAAGAGAGCTGTGTGGCCCTTACGCAATACAACGTAGGTGTAAATGACATTATATCACTAAAAATCAAATAACCTGTAAGCTTTTGTGGATCAAAATCCACTTCCTCAGAACTGCACTGGTGTCTTGTCAATAGTGCAGAGAAATTATATAAATGAGAGTCTCAAAAATTCTTGGCAGATAGTTGTGTTAGACTTGTTTCTCACTGGTGAGTTAGAACCAGTGTAGGCTGCATTGGATGTATGATTTTCAAACTACAGTTCAGGTAGCTGTTGACTGGATATCACATTCCAGCTTTCGAAGAAACTCAGGTAATATGTATATACCTTCCCACATGGCCTTCTTTTGAAACTTCAGGTTTCAAGGTTCTATTTGGCTGGTGAACAGAGCAACACAGAAAAACATGGAGTCCTCATCAGAGAATTTGGGTGAAAATTTAGTTTACCCACTAGGCAGAGCCAACTGGAGCTAAATTAAAGCCAAACTAACAATATTACCTACTGGATGGAAATAGGAGTTCCTTCAGTTTGTAGTCCTACTTGGATGGCATTAAACGTCCACATTGTCAGAAAAAGCTGCCCTGCTGCACCATCAAGAAGACAGACCTTGGCTGTAGTTTTAAAACAAGACTGGCACAACTCCCTGCCATGAATTTTTGGGACTCTCATTTATATAATTTCTGTGCAGTACCGAGAAGACACATGCCTAAGGAAGTGGACTTTGTTCCATGAAAGTTTGCAGATTGTTTTTTTTTAAGTGGTATCAACTGCTCCTGCATTTTTCTTTCTTTCTTCATCTTTGCAACAAAATTGGGAGAAGTGGGAAAGGCATTGATGGACAACATAATGCCCCAAACCTCCTACTTTCTGGTACAGTGGTACCTCGGTTTACGAATGCCTCAGTTAACGTAATTTTTGATTTACAAATGAAAATCCACTGAAAATAATGCCTCGATTTATGATTTTTTTTTTTTCCACAATACGAAGCAAGTTTCTCCAGGATGCATTGCACGTGGGAGGTTTATAGTTCAACCCCTGTGCATGCTGGAGTCTGTAGGTAGCACGTGGTGTTGAATGTGGAGGTGCTGGAGAAGTTTTTGCATCGAGTTCTGGAGCCATTCTGGAAATGTTTTGCAGCAGTTTTAGGACTTTTTGGAACTATTTTGGTGCATTTCTCAAGCGGCGGAAACGTAGGGAGCTGAGCTTTGCCGTCTGCATGCCTTTTAAAGTGCACTTTATAAAGAGTTCTGAACAGATAAAGGACTTTTTTTTTACTTTTTTCGAAGATTAATTGGTTTTCAATGTGTTCCTATGGGAAACCATGTTTTGGTTTATGAATTTTTTGCATTATGAAATATCCTAGAGAACACATTAAATTCATAAACCAAGGTACCACTTCGACTAAACTGAATCTTATTCTGATCCAATTCGACTAAACTGATACTTATTCTGAAAATTTATGTAAATATGATTACACCATGACCATGGTATACTTCACAGCTGGCTGGTACTTTACAAAAGTGGGTACAAATCCAGGCCTTTTTCTCTGCTTCATGGGAAAACATCCATGCCTAAAGTCTATAAACAGTCTATATGACTGTACCTTTTCTTTTAGGTTTAAATCCTTGGAACATTCATTCAGAACCTGGAAACCCAGTAATGAGTTTCTGTATGAAATAAAATATATCCCTGTATGAAATAAAATATATGTGTTGGGGCATTATGCATACACCCTGATCCCCCTGCTAGAGGTTACATATGGATCAGAAGAAAGGCAGTCAGCAACCCTCATAAGAAACAGCCTGGTTGAAGAGGAAGAAGCAGATGGAAAGGGAGAAAGGGCTGTGACTTATCTCTAATTGATAAGCCTGAAGTGCTGATGCCTACCGTTTCCATAAAAGACTGTCTACTACTATAAGACACAGAGAACTACTTTGAAAAAGCTTACCCTCCTTGCAGAGGCCAAAGTCAGCTATTTTCACAAAACCTTCTGTATCCAGCAACAAATTGTCTAGCTTTAAATCCCTACATGATGAATGAAAAACAACTCATTATGGCTACAGTTTGTGCCAAGCTGTAAGGGCAACTTGCAAAAATTTATTAATTCTTAAATTATCTTTTCCGAAGTTAAGTTGTTTGGAAATGGCATGTAGGTCTGTATAGGCATCCATGGCTTATGTTTTTAAATATTTAAAATACAAGACAAATACTGACAAAAATTAAAACATCTAATATATGATGAGATTTTCTGTTGGCAAAGAAAAGGCAAAACTTTTAAAATAAATTGAACAACTGTGGACATTGGACAACCAAGTGCAGGTAGCAGAAGATGAATACTTACCTATAAACTATCTTGTGTTCATGTAAATACTGTAGTCCAAGAACCACACATGCAGCATAAAATCTGTTCAGACAGAAATAAAGGGCATCAGTGGTCATCTCTCCTAGTTTTCTTTATACTTCTGCTAAGGGGAACTACTGAATACAACAGAATCACTTTAGGCAAACTTTAAATAGGACAGATACATCTTTCAATTATTTTATTTTGTACATGAATGGATACACACCGCATTTTTAAAATCAGGACAAGGGCATTATGGTGGAGCACATATTCTGCATACTTACGATCCCAGATACCATTTTTGGTATCTCCAGTTACAAATGATGGATAGCACAGAAAAGAGGTCTCCAGTCCAAGACCCTGGATAGCCACTGCAAGTTCAAGTGGATACTAGTCCAAACGAGTATCTATGCTAAATTTATTTAAAGGATCAGTCTGAGCCTTAAAACAACAATACTATCTTGTGCCTGTCATGCAGACCTATTTGGCTGCATAAACATGATATATACCAATTCAGCTATATCAGTTTTCTTAATTAAACAAGTTGTTTGGGTTTTGGTATGCTATTTGTCAACTCAAAGTTCCATTACAGCCAGAAATGTATCATTTCAGTCAGATAGAATACCCACAGATAACGTAACAGGGATTACACTTCCTTCTGAGCACTTCATGGCTACCTCAGGCTCTACAACAATTGCAAGTTACTGTAGTTGGTGGTACACAGACAATGCCAACAGTTCACAGGAAGCTCCCCTCAAGGTACTGGGTATTGAACTGATCAAAGTTAAGGCCGATTATAATTTCTCTTAAACCAGATTCTGTAACAGGAGGTGGTTTCCAGAGTATTAATTAGCCCTTATGGAACATTTCCTCACTAAGCCAGCACGAAAATAAATCAGTTTCTACCACAGCCTGTATATGCACAACTATTTGGCCCACATCAGTCCCAAATACTTACACTGCTCTTGGTTCAGAGAAGACATCAGTGTGAATATGCATCATGAGATCCCCACCAGCAGCATACTCCATTACAAAGCACACGTGATCTTTGGTCTGGAAACAGGCAAAGAGGTTCACCAGAAAGGGATGCCTTACACTGTTCACAGTTTCAAAAATTCGTTTTTCACACATGAGGCTGAAAACAAAAATGTTTTAGAAGAAATTAAAACATAATCTAAAATAGTTTATTCTCTAGAGGTTAGGGGACAGGGAAGGAAGGAATCTGACAAATTTTCAAATCAAGTTGGTTAAGCAAAGAACTGAGAAGTGCATGTGTAAAGACAGGCACAGAGCTCCAAGAAAATTTCCCCAAACAAACAGTTGTTGGGAGCCTTTTCAGTCTCCAGGTTACGCGTAAGAAGATTCCCTGAATTTATACTATCAACAGAAATGAAGGTGTCTATAAGAATTCTTTTTTTAAAATGCAGTCTGTGTTATATATATAAAAAAGAGAATAACCAGCACATATATTTGCAAGCTGAGAAATATATTCCTATACACCCTGTTTCCCCGAAAATAAGACCTAACCTGAAAATAAGCCCTAGTATGATTTTTCAGGATGCTTGTAATATAAGCTCTACCCCAAGAATAAGTCCCAGTTAAGTGAAACCCCACTCTCCACCATTGTACAGCACTGTGCATCAACCAGAAGAAGATGACATGATTGTATTTGAATAGATGTAGATTGTTGTACATGAAAAAAAAACATCACCTGAAAATAAGTCCCAATGCATTTTTGGAGCAAAAATTAATATAAGACCCTGCCTTATTTTGGGGGAAACACGATATACGTACAAATTACTATAAGTTAGAAATTCACAGTAACTTCTCAGACTAGCTAGCAGAGTGGAACAAAGATCTGGCTTAAAAACAACAAATTAATACTCTTTTACATGAGGAGCATTGACACAGGGAGAGAAGCAGTTTGTCCATGGTGATGGGAGGGATTTCCCTCCCTTTGCAAATTTAGTTGCTCTCATGTAAAAACCTAGAAATCAGGAATTCTTGGTATTCTATTGTAAATTACAGAGATCTGAGTATACTGTATATTCAAGTACATTCTGCTTATCACTGGCATTAGAGGGGCCACAAAATAGATTTGTTGTTGCACTGCCCTTCAATAAAAACTGTGAGGCAATTTATTTCATGGTTTTATTTCAATCACTCCCAGTTTAGAACTTATCAGCACATATGTGAAACCAGGACTGCTTCACGCATCACTTTATATTTGTCAAGTCTCCTTTAACAATTTAATGTCTACATCCTTGGTCTGCAAAGATTCTTCAGGAGCCTGCCTTTATTCTAGCTGCCCTAGATTTCCTTATACCTGAAAGCATGGGCATGTTGCTACTGATCCTAATACCAGATCATTAACAAACGAGTTGAAAATCACTAGTATCAATATAGGCACATTCCAACTTAATTTCTTATTTTCTTTATACTGACCTGTCTACTTCATCACGAGCCACAATATCGCCTTTCTTTAAGGCTTTAATGGCAAACATTTCATTTGTATTTTTATACTCCGCCAACAGGACCTGAAACACAAGCCGACATTCAACAGACAGATTTTTCATATTATTTATGAACATTTTGTGAATACTCAAATTCTCAATTGCAGCACTCAACCAAGAAGGAAAGAGGGCTAAGAGGAAAAAGAAGAAAAGATGCATGAAGCAACCAAACTGTAACTATCAAATGTCAAACATACCTTTCCAAAGTGTCCTCTACCCAGTACAGCACAACATCGGAAATCTTGTAAACTAAACTGAAACCTCTGCTGTGTTCTGAAATATAAGAATTTCAAAGATAGATGTGGAGCAGGAATTATACACCATCAAATATAAATACACAAATACTCACAAAAATGGCTTACCTTTTGTCTTCAGGCTCTCGTATCGTATATTCTGAATCTGAGTTTGAAATCTGAGTCTCACAAATAATTTCTGGCTGAAGTTTGGGAACAAAATTATTTCTGTCATTCTCAAAATCAAACGCTTCTGTGTCCTGTGAAATGTGCAGAAGAAAAAAACATCTGAAAATTTAAAAAAATGAAAGTTGCTAGAAATTGGAGGAGTGTGCTCCATCTAGAAAAAGTTGACTACAATAGATTTTCAAATTTAGAAAAATACAATTCGGAATCTCAGCTGGGATAAAAGACCTTACAGAAGAGCCCTAATTTGAAAAGTATTTTGTAAAACCACTACTTGATGCCACTTGCAAAAAACCTCTGGGATCTTTCTGTTTGGAACGGTCTCTTTTGAGGATAACAAAGCCAAAAAAAAAAAAAAAAAAAAAAAAACACCAAACTTGTTTTCAGACCAGCATTTACTTTAGTGTGAGCTGAAATGCACTGACCCTGCTCTCTCTTTTAAGAGAAAAAATATTTTAAAAGGGCAAGTCTTCCCAGTGCATGTCTCAAATCTTTTCAGTGCCCTTCTCAGTGAAGAGCATCCTGCAAGATGTTTTAAGAAGCTTTCAGCAAAGTCTAGGTTTACTCTAATTTTCATATTTTGCAAGGGTGACTGATAATTGTGTGTCTGCTATTGGTAGCTAGTTTTAACTGATTAGGTTCTGAAGATGTTTTGTTAAGATATTGTCATAATTACTAAAGTACAATACATATTTCTCCAAACAGCTTTGAAGATACAAGGAAAAATGGCTAAAGCTTAAATATTGTCTATATTGAGTATAAATAAACTGTATGGTTAAGATTCAAGTATTGATTCACCCAGTTCATGTAGTCTAAAGGGCTTGTTACTTAAACTTCTAAAAAACAGGCCTTTCCTCTGCCGTATATCACTAGAGACTTTTGAAACAGAGGAAGTTACAGAAGCATTCATTGAGAGAGAGGGAGAGAGAGAGAGAACCTTATCATGACATAAATGCATGCCTCTCAGAGGTAACATTTTTCAAAAACTGAAGACAGCGTGATTTGTGTAACTGTTTTATATGTAGATTAAAAGATGTATATCTTGCCTGAGAGGGTACAGGTGGAGACTTTGGCTCGGGAGAAGGTTCACTTATTTCTCCAAGAGAAGGTGCACGTGGTGGAGTCTGCTGGGATTCAGGTTCAAGGTCAAATACCAATTTGGCTACAGGGCAGTCGCTTAAAAGAAAAGGATTCACTTGATGAGCATGGAGACCACTTTGGAGAACATAATGATATGCTGAACACTTGTATACAAAGTCTGTTTTTCAAACCACAAATTGGGTAATCAAGTTTGTGCCTCCTATTAAATTAATTATATGAGCTTCACCCTAATGTTAATGTGCAAAGTTTGCTTATGTGTCCCAATCACTTACCTAGTTGGTGACCCTAATTCAGGAATGTGAGTATCGGCTACTGATCCTGAGGGAGGCACAGAAGCTTGAGGGCTGAAGGTACCAGTATGATTTACTGTAGGAATAGCTCTCCTCACCAACCTCCCCCAAGTGGCAATATTAATATTCATTTGAGGAGCTCTGAGAAATGTTTTGCCTGTAAGATAAAGAAAAACAGAGCACAAGTGATCTTTTTTTCACTTATCACCTAAAGCAATAATTAAACAAACATTCATATTCATTATTTTGTTATTTGTGAAGAATAAACTTATTGGCCAAAATCCTTTTGCTTGGTATAGTAAATTGCAGTAGAGTAGGCTCATTGAATCAATGGGGATTTGTTGAGTCAACTCCTCCATAGGTTGCATTGATTAAAATGGGTCTACTCTAATGGGAACTTACTACGCATAGTAAGTCACAGTTAGAGTAGACCCATTTAAATCCTATGAGCTAACCTAAGATATCTCCACTGATTAGTGGGCCTACTCTAGTGCAATTTACTAAACTAAGTAACATGGTTTTGCCCAATAGGACATAATTCATATTTTCCTAAGTATTCCTTAAAAATCATTAAAGCCTTATCTTTTTTTAAAAAAGCACCTCTAAATAAACATCTCATGTGCAATGTTGACATTTATCATCTACCCTTTCATTTATCATCTCCATATTAAGTTTTATAATTCAGTGCTCAATCCATTAAATCCTGGCACCTTGTTGCTTGGAGAAGATTTTCTTTTGCCTTTGAAGTTTCGGTCTTCTTTCAATAACTGGATTAAAAAATGTAACCTGTAATTTAGACAAGATACATTAAGTTTCAGAACAACAAATTTCAGAAAAATTATTAAAGTTATTATTAAAAACTATTTCCTTTTACCTCTGCAAACAAAGTACCCTGAGGCTCAAGATAGAGACACATTCCATGGCGCTGGTTATCCAAGAAATCTTCTAACCTCAGAAATTTCACTGCACATAGAGATCGCCAATCACGCCAATAAACAGAAATTTCTAATTCACGTGACTGAAGAAACAGAAGAAATGCACAAACATTAAATCTGAGTAGTTGCTACTTTCCTAAAACTCAAATTCAAACATCCTGACAACAGCATCATCCTATGCTGGAAACCGATTATTCTGACACAACTAGTAATCATTTTGCTGGTCTACTCTCCATCAACGGGACTGGCTGGATGCTACAGGTAATGTATGAATTATCCCTAAAAGGACATTTTCAAAACAGGGGCAACCAGTGAAAAAACAGCAATACATTCCAACCTTGACAAATTTTCAGGATGGATCATAAGGGATCTAAACAGAATCTTCCTTCTTAGCTACCTGCTTCACCATTTATTGTTAAGATGAAAAAAGCTTTATGCTGGTTATTTTAAGAGAAATCTACTGTCTCTACTGATGTTTTCATAGGGCCTTTTTGCAAAGCATACATAATATGTTTCTTGGCTTTTTAAAACAACCACTATAAAAACACCTATATACTGATTCAACATTTATTTTAAAGCAATCTGTTTTATGAAAGATGAGTCATAAAAGCACAGAGTTTTACAAGGTAAAATATTCCTTTACAGGACCATTTGCAACAACCTCCACAAAGCAGAACACGTCTTACAAGCAGTTTAATCCTCAGAGGACCAATGTGGCATCACTTGGTCAGAAATGAGAAGTTTATGATCTGCAGTCTTAATGGTAGATAAAAGTAAATCCACATCACAAGTGGATTTCAAAAGCAACAGTTATGATGCAGGATAAACAATACATTTTTATGTCAAAGGACACAGAGTACACCAATTCAGAAAGGCAAATATGCATTGCAATAACAATGCTACCACAATTCCATCCTGTCACTAGATCATTCCACATAAAGAGTTGGCAGTCTTTTCCAGCCACCAGAATGGCTTCAGGCCTCTTCCCTTTTACCACCTAATTTACACAATTTCTTCACATGGTAAATGATCTGCATCTGCAAACTGGCTCCAAAGCAATGGGGCTCAAGTGCCTAACATTGTTTACGGCACAGCTCCCCAACCCCTGGTCCGCAGCCCGGTGCCGGTCTGTGAGCTTGCTGGAACCAGGTCGTGGACACGAGTCTCTGCCCCCCTGCCCGGGGTGTGTGTGTCATGCTTGCGGAGGGGCGTGTTGCGCTCCTAACCATTCCCCCAGCGCCCCTTGCAGTGCCCCTTCCCTACGGGGAAGCCGCTGCGGGGCAGCCTGCCTGGGAGGCTGTGACGGCCAGCCACTGGGCTCGGCGCCGCACTACCCAGAGCGAGTGGGTGGGCGGGAGTGCGTACGCAATCCTGCTGTTTTCCTGCCCAGCTGACTCTTCCTGGGCGGGAAAGCTGGGCCAGGCCGGGCCGCACAGGGCGCTGCTGCTCGTCTGCTTTTGAGGTTCCAGGAGGGCGGCTTCCCCACAGTGGCCGCTGCTGCATCCCCCAAGTGCGGCTCGCCTTCTGGAGCCTCCCGTCGGAGTCTTCTCCCACCCTTGCAGTGAAGGCTCAGTTGCTCATGGTGGCCCTGCTCGGCAGCCCTTGCCTCCTTCTCCGGCAGGGAAAGCATCCCCCGCCGCTGGAGCCCCACTTCCTTTTCCCCTTGTTGGCTCGTCTTGGCCTGTTTCTCTTCTCCCCTCTCGTGAAGCACTCAGACTCCCGCCCGGTAGGAATCTTTAGCCACCCCCGCCCAGCAGCCCTTGGCTCCCCCCCCCACAGGCTGGGCAGAAGTTTCCAAAGAAGGCAGTGCTGCACACCAGGAGGGCTTGCTACCCCGCCCTTCTGGCCAGCCTTGGGGGGAGCCAAGGGCTGCTGCGTGGGGGCGGCCAAGGGCTCCTACCCGGCGGGAGTCCAGGTGCCCCATGGGAGGGGAGGAGAGGGGAGAGAAACACGCAGGGAAGGGGCTAGTTCCAGCTAGTGCTGGAGCCCTGGCCTGGGGGCCGCTGAACGGGTGGCGGGAGCAGAGACAGGACTGAAGAAAACAAGCCTCTTGTGAAACACACCATAACAAAAGCAGACAAACAAGAAAACAAAAACCCACCACCATTGCCAGCAGCACGACTCCGCTTTCCTTCCTTTCACCGCCCCCACCCCGGCCCAGCCCCACTGCCAGAGGAAATAGGGGGTAAGCTCTGCTGGCTTGGCAAGGAGGGTGCAGGTAGAGAAGACCTCTTACCGTTGCCCCTTTCAGGGGGCCGTTTCCCCTCCTCCCCCTATGCATTAAATGTTTTGGGGGCGGGTAGGTTGGTTTGCCTCATCCTGGGGAAAAGCAAGCCCGTATTGAGACATTGGCCCACACGGGGGGGAGGGAGAGAAAGTGCCGTGGCAGGGGAAGGAGCAGCCGAATGGAGGAAACAACATGGCATGATGCCCTTCCCCTCTCCTCTCCTCTCCTCTCCACTGTCTTTGCTGCTGTTGCTCGTTTTTTGGTTCAGGGAGCAGGTGCTTCCTGGTGGGTGGACAAGGGGCTGATTGCTGCCAGCATGCATGTATATTTAGGCTCCAGGCTGCAGCAGCAGTTGTGTGCTTGACCTGGGTGACCTCTTGCTGCCACTGATCTTCTCCTCTTGCCTTCCCTCCTCTCTGCTCCCCTCCCTCCCTCCGGCCAAGCTCTGTCTGAGGCAATGTCTGGCTGGAAGAGGTGGAGTTCGGAGCAAAAGGCGAGGAGCAGCTCTGGGTCCGGGAAGTAGGGCTGGCGGAGGCCCGAGAGAACTTGCAGAGGTGCCAGAGTAAACATTTCTCTCTCCCCCCCCACTTCCCACACGTTTTCTGCTAATTCCAGCTGGAGGGAGAATCCCCTCCTTGACTTTATTATCAAGCAGGAGGAGGAGGATAGGAAGGATGCCACCTTCTCCTTTTGTGTCTCACCCCAAGTGGTGCATGCTTGTACGTGTGGAGAAAGAGGAGGGGAGTGACAGGAATCAACCACATAAGGAAGGGATGGTGCTGTTTAGTGGGAAACCTAAACTTTGTGTCCTCTGGCATAGCTTCATGACACACCCCTCTGCAAGTGCGACATGCCCACCCGTGAGCGTGGCGGTGCCCCACCCCCAACCGGTCTGTGCATGGAGCCCATACCCCCCCAAACGGTCTGCGGACCAAAAAAGGTTGGGGACCGCTGGTTTATGGCACACTAGTTTCAAAAGAAGTTCGCTTCTCTGGCCCTGCACTGAATGCTACATGAATACTCTCTCTCGCTCTCGCTCTCAAAAAGATATTTCAGTTTAAATTTCCTTTGAAATAAATTATTAAAATACAGTGGTGCCCGCTTAACGATTACCCCGCTCCACGACGAAATCGCTTAACGGTGAGGTTTTTGTGATCACAATAGCTATTGCAAAACGATGTTTAAATAGGGAAAATCCGCTTGACGATGATCGGTTTCCTGCTTTGGGAACCGATTTTTCGCTTTCTGACGATCAAAACAGCTGATTGTCAGGTTTTCAAAATGGCCACCTGCTGTGCAAAATGGCTCCCCACTGTGTTTAGGGCGGATTTTTCGCTTTACAGGCACCGGAAAATGGCCACCCTACGGAGGATCTTCACTGGACACTGAGGTATTTTGCCCATTGGAACACATTTAGCTGTTTTCAATGCATTTCAATGGGCTTTTTACTTTCACTTGACGATAATTTCGTTCTACGATTTTCCTGGAACGGATTATTGTTGTCAAGTGAGGCACCACTGTACTAACTTTTAATTAGTTCACATTTACCATCTCTCTCTCTCTCTCTCTCTCTGTGTGTGTGTGTGTGTGTGTGTCTGTGTCTATAAGAAAAACAGATTGCTTTAAAATAAATGTTGAATTAGTATATATGAAAATAAAAATCAATTGTATTAACAAGCTTCTTTTCAGATCATAATTCTTCTGGAAAAATAAGGCATATATTTAACCTTGGAAAAATTCCAGTACATTTGCCACATATCAGTTTAATTTCACTCCCTCACACAACCCATCTGGCAAATTATGAAAAGAGCAATCAAAAATAGCAAATTAGGAGGGCTTTATTTGTTCAAATAATATTTTCATCACTAGATACAGAACTTTTTTTTGTCTTACACTGTGATCTCTTTTCATGCTCTGTTTTAGGAGTCTGCATGAATCAGTCTAACAGAAGGGAAATTTTGCTATCACCACACTCCATTATCTTTAAAAAAAATCTGGCAAAGCTATATTGGAGAAATTTCTCATAATATTCTGCCAAACATATGATCTACACAGGATAACACTTCCACTTCACTGTCCTTAAAATGGTCCACTTTTCAACATTCACAGACCAAAATGCCACTGAGATTATCTGCACCTACTAGAGGAACTGCACAGCTTTCTCCCCTTCTGACAGCCCCTGACGCAGGGCTTAAAACCCCCTTTATTTTACAGTGAACATGTGACCAAGCTCACAATGGGGAGTCTATGGCTGGAAGGAAAATGCTTACATGATTGCTTTCACAAGTGTACAGCAAAAAAGCAAAGCCAATTGTGCTACTTATCACCTCACAGTACTAAAGCATTCTCTGGGCAGTTTACAATTGGATTATACAGGCCACACATTGCCCCGCCCCCTGAACCAGGTACTCATTTTATATTCCTTGGAAGGATGAAAGGCTGAGAGAACCTCAAGCCAGTTTCCAGAATCTGCTGGGACTGAACCCTGACTGTGAGCAGAGTTTTGACTGTAATACTACATTTTAAACACTGTGCTATAAAAAGATAAAGGTAAAGGTTCCCCTTGACATTTTTAGTCCAGTCGTGTCCGACTCTAGGGGGTGGTGCTCATCCCATTTTCAAGCTGTAGAGCCAGCGCTTGTCTGAAGATAGTTTCTGTTGTCACGTGGCCAGCATGACTAGGGAACGTCGTTTTACCTTCCCACCAAGGTGGTACCTATTTACCTACTCACATTTGCATGCTTTTGAACTGCTAGGTTGGCGAGGAGCTGGGACAAAGCAACGGGAGCTCACTCCGTTGCGTGGATTTGCTCTTATAACTGCTGGTCTTCTGACCCTGCAGCACAGATGCTTATGCGGTTTAGCCCGCAGCGCCACCACATCCCTGATACTGTAAGGCTATAAGGCTCCAAGCAAATTAGATTCTGGCATACTGCTTTAACCAAAATCCTATGAACGCTTATCCAGAAGTAACTACTATCCTTATATAAAGCTTATTCCAATGTGTGAGTACACAGCACTGGCACCTGTGTTAAGTATGGGAAGTGAAACGTTTTCCCCTTGGAGCCAACATTCCTAATAAAGCCTGCACCATCAGAAATTAATACTGATAAAGAGGATTTTATCACACATACAAAAAGCCAGAAATCCATGACTTTGGCTCCTAAAAGTGTTCCCATTAATTGGAATGGGCTTCTGTTGGTGCTGAGGTAAGTAAGCTTCCAAGTTTTCACTGATCCTGCCCATCCTACCACCCCCTTGCTGGCTGTATTCCCCAACAGCACATGTTGTTAAAATTCAGAATATGTCCCTAGTTCCAGTGGGAAGAGGAAGGTGAAACTGTTCTACTCTGGTAATGAACTCTATCAAAAAGAAGGTGGTATCCAAGCCAAAATCTCTTTGTAGATACAGACCTAATAAAAATCAGTTATCAGTTTGGCACTGTTACTGTAATAAAGTGCCCCTTACTCTGTCAAGTTCCAGCGTAAATTTCTGATCCCATGACTGATTAGAAATAGGCTTCCAGCTAGTTTGATCAACTACAGTATTGTCCAACTTCAAAACAGCACAGACTTCATCTGAAAAAAAAAAGATATAAATTCTTAGAATTTTAAGGTTTACCACAAACAAGGATTAATTATGCAACGGTAGCAAAACTCACTCTCATTCACATATGATTCGTATGGCAGATACAAAATGTCTATTACAAATGGTTAATGAAAGACTCATTTTAAAAACAATTTCTCAGTCCCTTTGCTTTCTTTATCTTTGGTCAGTAATTGTGATTAACTTTGCAAAAATGGATGAAGGCAGAATTTGAAAATTTCAAACGCAGTACAAGCAGAGTCTAAATGCGATGTAAAAATTTGGACTGTGCTCTCCTTGCAGTTGTATGTCAACCACTGAGAGTTTGACAGGGAACAAACTCTGGAGCCTGCATGCAAATAATGAGATTTATTATTCAGGATTTTAAAAACTGAATACATTCACAATCAATACAAGTATATTTAAATTGCACTATGGCAAATAGAATCATAGAAAAGTGAAGTTGGAAGAGTCCTACCAGGCCACTGAGTCTAACCCCTGCTCAATGCAGGAATACAATCAAAGCATATCTGCCAGGTGATTATTGAGAGAGAATGGCATCCTTCAGTCTTGAGAGACTATTGTAACGTGCTCTATATGGAGGACTTCGAGAGTGTCCTCTCCAGAGCACGAAGCCTGGGTAAAATAATATAGAGGATAGGCTGTTACCCAAGCAGCAAATCCCCCTCTCTCCATGTTGCTGAAATAGTCAAATGGAAAGGCAAGAGCCAATACAACTGGTTCCAGCGATGTTGCAGGAGTTGCCAGAACAACACAAACTGCCTCCGGGACTCCAGCTCCGGTTTTCGCTTCGAGGTTATCTCCTGAAGCCTTTTCCATCAGTGGATATAGCCACAAGGCAGTGGAGGTTTGAAATCGGAGTTTTCCTTCTCCTAGATGGGCTGCCTTCCAAGGCTGATGAGCCCCACCTATCTAAGTTTTTCTTGAATGCCTCCAGTGTTGCAGCACTCACCAGCTCCCGAGGTAACTGGTTCCACTGTCATACCGTTCTAACAGTTAGGACGTTTTTCCTGATATTTAAGTGAAATCTGGCTTCCTATAACTTGAGCCCACTGTTGCGTGTCCTGCACTCTGGGATGATTGCAAACAGATCATCCCAGAGTGTTAACTTCCAACATATACTGTTGTTCCAAATACTAACTTCCAACATTCAGACTTAACATGCCTATTGATTGTCTGAAATAGAACTTCCCAAGCAGCTTAATGCTACAAAAACCCATAATCCTATACTGAAACAGGATACCTGATTAATACCTCAATCCAAATAATCTCCTGTGCTTAGATATGCCTGTGATTTTTTTAAAAGGACTACTGACTTCCACACTTCACACATATTTCCTTTTCCTGAGAAACTTCATGAAAACCTTTCTGAAAAAAATTTTTAATGGTGAAAAGATACTAAACTGGACAAGTCATCTGTTTTCAGAAGGTTTCGGCTACTCCCACTTTTACTTTTGCCCGTTCGGCTCATGAAAGATGATCTGGCTTCACTCGGACTCCATCCCGGCAGAGTAACAGATGTAGCTTTTGATCGACCAGGGACATTCTCCAGAATATCTTGGCAACCCATAAGTCTAACTTCCAATGTGCCTAGAAAACAAGATTAGAACCCCTTTGTTCACTACCATCAAAAAGTTATCAACAGCAGAAAATATATTTAACTCTTGAATAGTAGCAGCACTGGCAATGCATTAGTTTAAGGAGATATAGAAGTTATTAAATTATACAAGGATTATATAAGGATTTTTTAAAACAACCTGTGGGACTGTACAATGGGCCTTGACATAACCATACTTAGAGCAGGCCTACTGGAATCAATAGGACTTCAGTAAGCTGTGACCACATTGCACTGATCACAATGGGCTTACACCAAGCACAATCAACCTTAGATTTAAAAAAAGGCAGAAAAGCATAGGAGCTAATACTACATTACTTCGAAACAGAAGTATTTTATAGAGTACACTTGTACAAATGATACAAAACCATGTTCACAAGTCCTTGGAACACATACACAGTTTCTGCAGCATGATCTGTGTTTTTAAAACACACATATGTTTTTCTTATACATTCTTGGCTTAACATATACAGAAGAAAAAGGGCATCATTTTATACATTTTTAACTTCTCATACTCAAAGGTACAAAGAATTACAATAATAATGAAATGTGACTATTCTGGCTGGAGAGTTTTTAGGAGTGTACGTGCATGTACACATAACCATTCCTCTATAAGTTAAATCTAAAAACTAAAGTCATTTTGGGAAACCCAAGTGAACAGCTGTGCTAGTGCTTCTAATTTGGTTGTTTATTAAATAATTTAGCAAACAACATATTAGGAACAGAGTTTTTATTCAACACCTGCTTGAAGTTAGCAAATGAAATCTGTAGGGATATATTTAAGATCTTCATTAAGCATATGAAATATCTTAGAATTTATTTTCTTTATGAAGTGTTGCAATTACAGACACATATACAGACTGTCAAGAGGCACTGATGGACTATATAAACTCAACTTTCACAACCCCTGTGCAGACATTCATTCTTGTGGAATACCAACTCTTAATTTCTTGTATTTAATTACTTTAATCTAGAAAACCCATTAGCACAAGTAAATGGGAAACACATTTTATGCATTTCTGCTATCTGAAATTCTCTCTTCACGTTATTACCAAAGTGTTAATGTTTATAGAATGCTCCCTTTAGGAAAAAATTAAGATTTTCATCACAATTCAGTGCTGTGAGATTATGACCTCACTTCAACTCAATCGCTTTATCCAGTGTTGACCTGTGAGAGAACACAACCTCCTGGCATTCCAGCTAAAGCAATAATATAAAGGCAGAATGGCACAAATATTTTCAAAGCATTTTGGAAATCAAGCATTATACCAACAATTTAAAATGATGGGTGAGAAGCTGTCACTGAATAGCAGAATCTTGCAGAACCTTGCAATTAATATAAGGAACAGGAAAATGCAGTGCTTTATAAGGATGGAACTTTCAGAACAGTAGGACTTCCAGTCCCATAATTCACCCAGAACCAGCCCCTTCGGCAGAATTATGAAAACAAAAACCTTCAAACAAGGAGGAGTTACAACAGCCTTCTCTAGCTTCACACTGTTCCTGGCACTGCTTCTTCTCCCAACTGTAAGAAAAGCACTTTGCTGTACTGTGGGAATGCCAAGGACTTCTGTGACTTCCAAAGGTCCATAGAAATGTGAGCCCCAATACCCATTAGATTGTACAGAGATAGCCTCCAAAGGAACTTCATTTTCCACGGTCCCTGAGGGCTGCAGAGAACCTTAAAAAACTCCCACAGTGTTAGTTCTGTGCCGTCAGGTTGGAACTGACTTATAGCAATCTTAATAAGGCTTTCAAGGTGAGACTGACGTACTATCCCTAATACTTTACCACGTCAAACTTCAAGACAATAAGTCCAATTCATTTCCCAGACCTCATTATGAAAATACTTTGGCGCTGCTGTTAGAATACTAGAACATTTCTCTTAAAGACATCTACCAATTTAAAATGTTCATTACTAAGTTCAGAAGAAATACAAGCTGTGAGCAATCAAGATATTGCAATTATTGTAAGCAAAACAAACAACTACACCAGAGCACGTTAGGAAACGTTAGGAAGAACCTTCAGAACACGGCCAAAGAGCCCGAAAAACCCACAACAACCAAACAACTTTTCCAATAAAAACATATTGGCCACTTTATTTCTGAAGGGTTACAGTAAGTCAGAATAGACTTGATGGCAGATGATTGATCTCTATGACTCTTCTATTCTAAAGATATTGTGTGGTCATGTTTTTAAACCCCTCCCCATAAGCAGGAAAAGCTAAGGAACACAGCATACACAGATATTATTACCACAACAAACCTGTTAAAGCTGCTGGCTTGGATAGCGTACTGTACTGATTCTGTGTAGATATTGTGCTTTGCCTTGGACTTAGCGTTGGTGATGAGACAAGTGAAAGCTCCTCTATAATAATACTACTTTTAGGATGGTTTTTAGGGAGTTCATTCAGTCTCTGTTCTAATGAATACTTTAAGAGGTCCAGCTTCTGGCTTGATTCATTAAATCTTGCTTGAGCCTTGTTTAATTAAAAAGAAGAAGAGAAAGTTAAGAAAATAACTAAAACACAATTATCCAAATTAAAATGCTATTTATGATGACTAAGTTACCTCTGACAGCGCCTTTCTGTCAGTAACCTTGCCAGAACCAAGCAACTTCATAACATTTTTTGCTCCTTCTGCTACTGCGTACTCTATCCTAAAATGATGCCGCAATTCCTCCATTCGAAGCTCAAGGGGGCTTATCACAGGCTTTGCTGCAGATGCAAAACACAAAAATATTTAGAATGTGTTCAAATAGCATTTAGTTGGACTTTTTCAAACTTCAAATGTACTAAACAGATGCACACAAGAAAGAGAAAGTACTAACTAGGGAACAAGTAAATTAATAGTCGTAACGAGATTAAAGAAACTGAAGCAATATGTTGTGCTCTCAGGCTCCATTCCACAAAGAGCTGCTTCTTATACCTTTGCATTTCTCACCTGTTCTGTGACATTACAGGCAGCCAAACGAGAGGAAACCTTTAGCAAAGAGAGGCACAGCCCCTTCTAACAGGCAATGTTAACACAGTTACAAACCATTAAGGTAGTGCAATCAAAATGGGATTCCAGTTCCCCAGGTGGTTGTGATTGCCTCCATCCTGCCCAGCAAACTATGAACCCAGTTATGGGCCTGGATTGCCAGGGCTAAGGCAGGAGGTGCATCAATACATTTCCTTTTAATGGGGAGTGGCACTGGTTGACTGCTGTTCAAACCGACAGACAATAATCTACTCCCTTACTACAAGTATCATTCCCTCCAATGATTAAGGTTATACTGTATTAAATACATTTTCACTTTTCTCTATACATAGTCTCTTAAAAATTCTTGCACTTCTCCCTGACTCCCCATACAGTTCTGCACATGCTCATGCTTTCTCCAACAAAGCATTGAAGTTAAGAAAATTCTAACTATTATATTAAATCAGGGTGGGGAAACATGTTGCCTTCCAAACTTCAGGAGGCATCCCTACTTCTGCTTGTCTCTAAAGTGGGGTGGCTGTACAGATGCTGGTAAACTATAGCTCCCACCATCCTACAGCGCTGACTATTGCACAGGGCTGGTGACATTTGCAATCCAACAACATTTGCAGGTCCACATATTCCCCCAACTCTCTTCCAGTGCCTGTTTAAAAGCATGAACAAAGGATGTGTGCAGGCCTGTTACAGAATGCAGAAACCTGGACCACTGGCTTTTAAGGCATGTTTTTTTGCCTGTGCCATGTTGTAGAACAGATAAACAAGCTCCTTGGGTCTATGATCTGGCCTTATGGAAAGGGACTGGGATTTCTTTAAAGTCCAATGAATGTTTGACTTGGAAAACAGGCAAGAGTCTAGTAAGCCTGAGCTGGAAAATAAGCAAGATTCTAGTTTAGAGAAAGGTCTTTTCTGTAATGAATGCTTCACCATTATCAAAAGCCAATTCATTCGTCTGGACTGCCTGAAGAATCTGCATCCTTATAACTTCAATTTTTGTCTTGCTGTCCTGAAGCATCTGTTGAGCTGTTGCAAGAAGCTTTCTATCCTAAAAAAGAAAATAAAGAGTTTTAAAATTTTAAATTCTCAAGTGAGGGTCAAACAGCTTCAGTTTGTACTATCTTTTCAGAGCATGAATTCTACCATACGTAAGGGGATACAGACTACTGTGTTACTGTACCATACAGTACTATGTTACCTGAAAATAATATGAAACATTTTGCTATGAAAATAATATGAGATTTTTATGGAGCTTTGAACTCTCTATTAAATGGACTTCAGTTGCTTTTTACTTCTTACTATAAGTGCATTAGGATATATAACTACAAAACAGCACAACCCAACCATGTAAAAGACAGTGGAAATTCTCAATAAATATGACTTTTTGATATCAAGGCATTTCCAATTTATATCAACTCTTTGAATGAATGACCTCCAAAAGGCTTATTACTAACAGACGTGGTCAGTTATTGCAAATCCAAGGTGCTGGATTCCATTACTGAATCAATCCATTTCATGTGTGGTTTTCCTCTTTTCCTGATATCTTCAACTTTGGCTGGCATTATTGTGTTTTCTAATCATTCTTGTTTTCTCACAATTTGCCCAAAGTGTAAACAGCTTCAGCTTAATCATTCCCACTGCTAGTGAGAATTGCTTTAGTCTAAAATTTATTTATTTGTCCCTCTGGTGGTTCCATGATATCCACAAAATTCTTCTTCAACAACACAAATTAATTGACTTTTCCCCATCAACTTTCTCCATTGTCCAGCTTTCTCATCTGGGAATGCTTTATATGAGAAAGTTGGATTTAACTTATAGTGATTCCAATAAGGCTTTTAAGGTAAGAGAGATATTTAAGGAGAGTTTTACTATTTACACCCTCAATGACTTTCCATGGCCAAATAGACATTTGAACCCAGATCTCTTAAGCTCTTTTCTGTTATTCTATCCACTACACGATAATCACTATCTCACTGGAAATACACCAGTATATTTTTGGCCTTAGTCTTTTCTAGCGAATCTTATCTTTTCATGATATGTCCTCCGTTTACTTATTTTTACTTCCAATGAGTATTCAGACTTGTTTTGATCTTGAACCTACTTATTTGATTTTCTGGTCATGGTATCTGTAAACTTCTCCCCAATGCCACATTTCTTCCTGTCAGTTGTTTCCACTGTCCAACTTTTATATCCATACATGGTATGGGACAATTTTGGACTTGGTTCCCAGCAACATATCCTTATATTTAAGAATCTCTCCTCATTTCTTCATAGTTTCCATTCCCAGATTCAGTCTCCTTCTACCTTCTTGGCTGTATTTCCATTTGGACTGATACATGACATACAGAAAATCTTCAATTATTTCTTTAATTGCTCTTTAAAATTGTCATTCTTCTGTAGTCACTGTTTTCTCCTTAATGTTAAGCTGTAGTCCTGCTTTTGCACTTGAAGATGACAGCTTCATCACAGCTTTCTGGCACTACTATGGTATCCATGGCAAGTTTTAAATTACTGATGTTACTTTGACCAATTTTCACTCCCCGCTTTTTAATCCAGCTTTACATTTGATACCTTTGCATATAGATTACTAATGTTAAGCTGTAGTCCTGCTTTTACACTTGAAGATGACAGCTTCATCACAGCTTTCTGGCACTACTATGGTATCAATGGCAAGTTTTAAATTACTGATGTTTCTTTGACCAATTTTCACTCCCTGCTTTTTAATCCAGCTTCACATTTGATACTTTTGCATACAGATTAAATGTAGGGGGATAAAATATACCTGCATCTAACATTTTTGCCAGATGAAAAACATAGTTTCTCCATAACAGTAGCTTCTAATTTAGAATACAGGCCGAAGTTAGAGTTAGGGTTGTAGCACACTTTTTTTATCATGACCCATAATTTTTCAAGAATGAATGAATGAATGAATGAATGAATGAATGAATGAATGTATTATAAAATATAAAAGACTGGTCTGAAATTCTTTGGTATGCTCCTGAAGCTAGTGTATATTAGCAAGATGATCCCAAATGCCTCTTTTGTTACTGAATCCACTTCAAACATCAGGTATTTCTCACTCTGTATATGGAAAAAGTCTTTGTAGTAAAATCTTGAGCATTACAGGTACTACTGTTTTTTTCCACCAGTTGGAGCGAGTGTGGTCTGATGGTGACTGACCTTGTGTCGCTCCCCTTGTCATGGTCAGATCACCACCTGATAAAATGTAACCTCACAGTGGGGAGCAAGGACCTATTTCTATGGTCTGCCCTCGAAAGCTACTGGATCCGGTTGGATTCCAGGTTGTCATGAGAGGGGTCACAGCTGACCTGGCTAGCACTCCTGTCAACGCTCTGGTTGATAACTGGTCCACCTTCGCAGCCAGGGCTATAGACATGATCGCGCCTAAATGCCCTCTCCGTCGTTGAGCTCACCCAGCGCCCTGGTTCAATCGGAAGCTGGGAGAGCTGAAGCGACACAGAAGGCTAGAGCGTAGGTGGAGAAAGAACCCGATGGATTATAATTGGGTCAGGGTCGCA